TTTCGTAATGGATGGGAAATACCAACTTGATCTTAATGGGCACTAATTGAATGCAGGTTAACTGGTTATTTTTCCCTGTCTCTTCACTGCTGTCACTTTAATAACAAGATCTATTTGATCTGAATATTGAATCAAACCAGGCAGGGATTTTTCCTACTGGGTTCAGCAGGTGTGTGGCTATATGATTCCTCAGGCACGTGAAAAGCCATGTAGTCTAGATGTGTCCAGTAGCTCGAATGAAATTAGCAGGATATTAATGACGTGAAATCAATTTTTATTCTACGGTGGTGTGCTAAAGCTTCAAATCTCTTATGATATGATGTTAGTAATACAAGTCAATGATAAGCTACTCTTGAAATACATTAATTAACTAGCACAAAGGTCATTTCCACTTACTGTTACCCCAAATTGCATATCAGCTGAGCAGTGCTGATAGATATTTACATAGGGATTCATGTACCAGATTCTGTTTTCTAGGATTAAATTTGTGCAGATTACTCAAGCAAACCATCTCATTTTATCTCAGATGTGCAAGAAATGTTTGCAACTGCCAATTTTGCCTATTAAGTTGACAAATTATTTATTAAATGAGGATCAAAGTCTAAATATGATCCTGTATAGGTTTGTTAAACCCAGGTGATATTTTCAAGAAATAGTTTGCCTTGCAGAATTTCTTGTAACTTGGCATTTCTTCTCTTTCTGTCTCCATTATCTATAAAACCCAGAGTCAATAAGGACTCATAGATGGGGTAATTTCTGTGAAGCAGATGGGTTTTTGTGCCTATAAGAGTTTTCTTGCAGCAGTCATTTGCAGTAGTCAAGGTATTTTAGAGCATGAATGGAAAGCTGTTAATTTATTGCTTAGTTTTTATCACCGAATTTACATATATGCTGAGATAACATACTGATGGTATTTCTGCCTGAAAATGTAGAGGTTGTTGACTTTGAAATTTTGTTATTAAACTCCTGTATCAGAAATTGTAAAGAAAACCAAAAGGTTTTCTTGCTTTTCAGAGCAATATTTTATTGGTTATTCTAGTTTAAATGAGTTCACTGATTCCTTTGTGATATATAGGAGCTATTCTCTTTGCAGCCTCTGGCTTTGGGGGGAGTTTGAGGAGCCTGATCAGATAAGAGGGAGATAAAGCTCACCACAGTTCAGTACGTTTTGTCTGTGGCTGCTTATCTAGTCCAGCATGATTATGTTTCTCCAGAAAAAGAAGAGCTATTATAAAGAATAAAATAATAAGAAAATTTGAAAGAAAAAAAAAAAAAAAACAGAGCCAAATGCATCCTCTCCTTTTAGCATCCGTGTCTTGGTATTTTTTCTGGAGGTTTTAGTTTAAGGCTTCGTAGGCTATCTTACCCACAAACAAAAAGTTACAGACTACTGGTTTGCTCCTTGTGTGTGTTCGAGTCAGAGAACATTTAGCACAAATGGTTTTCAAGTGTTATTACTTGCTGATGTGGAGTCTAGGTTACTGCAAGGATGGTGACTGTCAGAAAAGTAGCCATGGGATAATAGCATCTTTTTAAACTTCAGGGACAGTTTTATTTATTTACTTATTTATTTTGAAAACACACATATGGATTTTGGTTGCTGGTGTGTGGATGTGTGCTGGTATGCGTTAGCCATTGGTAAACGGCCTGTAGGAGTGAGATGCTGACAGTGTTCTGAGGTAACAATTGGTGAGGATCTGTTCTGGAGACTGCATGTGTACTTTTAATTTTTTTTAAAACATAAATTAAATGTCAGTTTTCACCTTTCTCTGCCCTGCATAACAGAAACAGCCATAGAAGAAGGAGTTGGATTCTCTTCTGGTCAGTGCACCACAAACATTTACTTAGGCTCAGAGGGCAGAGGCTTTTTTTTTTTAAAAAAAAAAAACCAAAACTGTTTCTGCTTGATTCTTGAGTACAGAAGGCTGGCATGGAGGAAAAATGCTGTTTTAAAAAAAAAAGTCAGTAGGATCTCTTGAAAAATTAGTGATGTGATTCTTTCCTGCTGGGGTAAGGGTTTTTTTGTTGTTGTGGTTTTTGTTTTTTAATATAATGTTTTTGAGTGGTAGCACTTATCAGTGCAGCTTTTTTTGCAGTGCAGCAGGCCAAATAACGTTTTAAAATTCTGCCTGGGAGGAAGAGGGAAATTCCTGCTCTCACTGGGATCGTCATTAAAACCCAGTGAATGTTTAGTTCTTCTTGGCTTCTTGAGCTCACAGGGATTCCTGAGTGGACTGTCTAGAGCTTTGCAAGACTTGATGTTGTTTGGATTATGGACATGTGTCCTCTTGGGGTATAATGAAACCACTGACAGGCTGCTCAGAGGCCACCGGTGGCTTGAGATGTTCCCGGCAGAGCCATCACCTGTGTTGGCTGGATATGGACAGGCAACCTCGAGGTGAATAGCTCAAAGCTATAAAGAATGACCAGTTCCCATGGTCGTTCTGTCTTTAGCTCTGCTCTTTTAAATTGTATAGATGGGGATGTGAAAACATATAGACAGGCAAAATAAACAGTCCAACTACCAAAGCAGCACAATGACTGCCAGGTTTAATTTCTGCCAAGGCTTTGCTTCTTTCCTGTTGTTGCCTCTCCAGTACTCGGTGTAATCAATTAACATCTACTCTTTATTGATGCTGGCCGCCAAATACATAACTGTTTTCTGCTGCCACTTGAGTACTCTGTATTTGAATATCAGGCTTTTTTTTTTTTTTTTTCTCGTTGCAGAAAAGCCAGGGAAAACAACTGTTTGAAGAACACACTCACTGCAATCAGTAAAAGTTGAAAATGGTTGCAAATAATATCCAGATTTGTCATTTGATTATTTGGCAGTGTAGTTTGCCAACACAGGGAGAGCTATTAAATATGGACTTCATGGTCCAGCTGCTCCTCTCCCCCCCTTAATTACCATCAATAGTATCTATTGGGCCTCTATAGCTTATATACAAATAAGGTTGGAGTTCTAAAAAAATCTAGAGTTCTTAGCTTACAGTGATTTTCATAGTAAGGTAGTAATCATAAAGGAATGTGCATAACTAAATGTTCTTCTGATTTGTTTGGATTATTCCTTAAAACTGAGAAATAAAAATTAGTGTTTTCCTGCATGCAAAGCTTACACGAAGTCCACCTATCTATATTTTTGTGCACAGTGAGTTGAGATCAGCAGTAATGCCATACTTGCTACTAAAATAAGCGTGACAACCGAGGAAGGACACCCTGTCATTTTTCAGATGCATTCACACAATTTATGTTTGGGCTATAGGAAACTGAATTAACCATCATTTTATAAAGATATATAAATAAAATTATTTAAGACATGTTGGTAGTAAGAGGGGAAGATGCCAATTGTCTTGAAGGAAATTATTAACACTGTGAACCAAAATGAAAAGTATGAGTTTACCTTAAAATGCATCTCTACCCCTCCTGTTGCTTGTCTTGTTACACCGGAGTAGCTGAGAAGCTTCAAGATGCACCGTGGTGGGAAATCCTGAAGTGTCAGAAAAGATCAAGTGAGCTAGCAGTAGAACAACACCACAATTTGTAAATGAGAACGTTCAAAGTGAATAATGCAACGAGTGCACACAGCTAAATAATGCTGCAGAGGGCTCTTTGACTAGAAATTGGAAATTTCTTCTTTAAAGGGCACCGCTCAATTAAAAGTTAATTCCAGTTGTTTTCTTTTAAAATATGGATGATCTCAGATGTAATGTGAGGGGTAAACATGGTCTTTCCATAATGCAGGTGAAGCTGAAACTTGGGTGACCTGATGAATGCTCTCAGCTCTGCCTTGGCTTGTCATTGCCTTCAGGAAGTTACAGAAAATCTCTACCTCATTAAAATGACTGTAGATACAGAGCCTAATTGTTTAGCGCCTTCAAATCAAGACTGAGAAAGGCTGTGAAAATGCACATCAGTGTAAATCATCCCAAGTGCTGTAATTTAAAATGTTTTACCCTTCACCGTTTGTGCTATTTGATTTTTTTTGTATCTAATCATTATGCTTAAAGAATGTATTCCATTTCCTTTTTCGCTCATGACCTGGGACAACAGGGCAATGTCTGGGCTTCTAGCAAAAAACAGAATGGCAGTAGAGTATAATTTAGAAGAACTTTAATAGGAGTTAAAGTTAATTGTTAAAATTAACATCCTTTAAATTTAAAATAGTGTCTAAACTGGTCTGAACATCTGTTATATGTGTGTATTATATGCTGAGGCATTTTGTCGCCTTTGGAAATGTGAGAAGTCTCTTCTCCCTATAAATGAGGGAGGTGGCTTGATGGTGATTTTTTTTTTTAAGCAAGGAGTCTGTAGGTCAAGTATCCATGTATATATTTCAAGCATATTTCGACATTTCTGTCTCAAATTTTAATAAAATATTGGTACTTCCAATGTTAAAGCACCTCTGCTCATGGAACAGTTGTGGAGCTGGTGTCTACAAGCGGTGGTGTTACCCCCTTAGGCCGGTGAGGGCTGTGACATGACTCCATCTCGTCTCCTTGCCTCCTCTAACATGCAACTTGTCAAATGTGCTGGTGGGAGAAACTTTTAAAATGCAGCATTAGATGTAGGATGTAAAGCATCATCCCTGCACTGCGACCATATGATTTTTTTAAAACAAATGTCTTTGGCTGGAGCCTGGCATGACCTGGCGGAGATAAGGCAGCGCTTTCCGTGTGCTTTTAGAGGACAGTTGAGCCTGGTGGTTGGCCTGGAGCTTGCTGGCTGTGTGATGAGGAGAAAGGAGCAAAGCTGCTTGCTCTGCACTCGTCCTGGAGAGCAGAGGGCTGAGGGATGGTGCTGCCACTGCCTCACCAACCTCCCTCTGTGGGCTTTCTGCTCGGCCCTAGAGGCTGTGGCTTGTCCTCGCGTTTTAGTGGGGTGTCACTGCAGCTGAAGTCCAGAGTGTGGTTCCCCCATATTGTCCTTGTTCCTTCATTGCGTGTCCTTCACGTGCTCCCTGCAGCCTGGGGTGGCTCTGACTTCTGTTCTTGTCTCCACAGCCCCAGCAACGAGAGGCAAACATGGCCCAAGCACCTGCTGACCCTGGCAGCGCGGAACCTGCGGACCCTGAGGAGAGCTCCCCGAACATGATCGTCTACAGAAAGGTAAGGAGCGGGAGCTGCTTACAGGAGCCTGCTCCTCTCTGGCTGTTGGCTCATGAAAGGATCCTTGTCCCTTCTGAAGACAAAGCTGTATTGCCATCTGCTTGGATCCATATCTGAAATATTTTCAGTAAAGTAGGTGTTTTGAACTATAGCATTTGAGAGCTCAGAAGTATTCCATTCAGTGGAAGCATTTATGCTTATTAGTATAAACTGGTTGGTGAAAGACTTATAATGATGTAACATGAAAACCATAACTTCTTGTGAAGGGTTGTGATGCAACATTATTAAGTATTGTTCAAGTTTACTGAATGTAGCTAAAATAATTGTACATGCTTCCAAGCTTTATCACACTAAGCCTAGAGCAGCTGGCGTGTAACAACCTTCTCATATGTTTTTTCTATTTTTCAAATTGCACTTGTTGTTACATAATTTACAGTTTGATTCTTCGCAGGTAGATGTTATTACTTCCTGTTGCATTGCTTAAATTTAAGAGAATCCTTTCAAGTGCTAGTGAAATATGTATTAGGCAAAGGTAAAATAACAGCAGTGCACAATGTCAGAAACCATTTTTTTCCACAATGATAAAGTGTCTTATTCTGAAGCACTCCAGAGGTGGTATTAAAGCTGAAGGAGAACAATCTATTTGCTAAGACAGTATTTTACTCTGGGGTAGGCTAATATATTATCTATGAAATTGGGTCTCTGTAATTTAATGAAAGCATGTAAATATTTTTTTTTTATTCAGTCTGCAGAATGTTTCTTATGTAGCACGTGGAAGTGCTGGATAGTTCCGACAAAAGTAAAATCTCTTGTGTGGCTCAAATAAGCTACTATTCTGTTAACTTGGGAGCTACAATGCTAGCTCAAATCAAGTATCCCTATGTAGTACAATCCTGGGTTAAATATATATATAATAATTTTTTTAAATCATTTCTACACCTTAGCAAACAGCTACAGATAACTAAAATGTGCTGGGTATGCATCATACTGTTTTTTTGCTTGCGTGACTGCAATCTTGATGACTTTCATATGCTGAGAAAATAATTTAGGTTTCATACAAGAGCATGAGTTGTTTAAAGTGTTACTTTTTGATAACCGTGATTTTGGTTTAGTAGCTGCATATTTGGTTTGGAATCTGGAATTGTTAACATGGGAAAATTTTCTGGGTAATGTGTAGGCTTGTTTGTTTTGAATGTGTTATGAACACACTTCGGCTGCTAGTTTGGAAGTAGCAGTAGCTGGTTAGTCAGATTGTCTTTCTAGAACCTGTTCGCTGAGAGGTCCTACAGCAGCAGATGGAAGCAGATCTGGGACATGAAAGGAGTTTCTGGTTGCATGGTCTAGAATTAGGGCACTGAATTTCTTCTGCAGAGAACTCATTTACCGATGTTTGGAAACATTACTTATTTTGTTTGACTGTGTCTCAGTTTCTGTTCATCTCATGGCATTTCTGTTTAAGGATTTCTCCATTTCTTTGCCTGTTACTGTTTGACTATTGTCACTATAGAATAAGGCTTGCGAATTTGGTGTCACAAAAGGGGAGTGCACTCATGCCATTGGATTCCTCTCTCCATACCGATGTTCCCTAGATGTCAGTATTATCGGCCCTTTGTAACACAGTCATCTGTCAAAATATGTGGTTAGCTTTTACGATGGCATGCCCCATGCACTGTTTAATAATATGGAATTCTGTATTTTTAACAAATGGACATCTGTCAGTTTTTTGTGTGTGTTGAGGGTTTTTGTTTGTTTGTTTGTTTTTCTTTCATGAGTAAGGTTAATATAAACTGTTTTTTGAAAAAACATTTATTTCTATTGGTGATTAACTTTCTGAACCTAATTTACTATTGGATATTAGTTATATATTATGCATCAATTATATGTCCCTTAGTGTTGAGAAACCATATGCAAAATCTGAGAGACTTCATTCTTCTGATTATCTCTACTCTCTCCAAATGAATGTTTAGCTCTGCCTCTCTAATTTCTTTTCAAATGGCTTGATTACTACTAATGAATGAGAAAAAACACTGCACTGGACTCCCGGAAATACACAACACAATCTGCCCACATACCATACAATTTAGAGTTGGTATCAGTTGGGTCATACAAAAAAGAAAAAAAGTTTTGGTTTTCATGATAACAATCCTAAGATGTGATTCTTGATCTCCCTGAAGAAGAAATAAAGGGGGCCTTCAGTAACAGGACAGAGTCATTCCTGCTCTTAGTGTCAGCTGTTCTGTTGTTTGCCATAGCTGTCATGCCCCTAGAGGTAGGGTTTGTTTTTTTGGAGGGGTGTGAGGTGGAGGATGGTGGTGGGGGAAGCCCTACATGTACAGCCTCAAATTGTTCATGCTTTCTTTACTGAGGCTCACTGAAGTCTCTTTGAAGCTCAAAAGTCATGAGGGTGGTTGTGGTAGCCTGCCTTTCTTTACAGTTGCTGGCAAGAGATGTGTGCATTTGAATAACAAGTCAGACCTTGGATGATGGTGAATGCCCCTTTGGAGCAACCTCTGTCTGTTTTGTTTATGGAAAATAGCCTAGAACCGTCTGTTCTCTTTACTTAGGTACGTAAAGCTAAGTGGAATGAATTTTGGCCATGCAGAACAAAATAAACTAATTTATTTTGACTCCAATTAGTTTGTGATATTCTCTATGGACTCCTGCAAGCAAACTGACTCTTAACTGCTTTGATTGTTACAGCAGATGGTCTCAATGAGACATGTCTTATTTTCTTCTACCTTCAGGGTTAACCTTTTGGGGGCTGATATTTATCAAATTTTGAGGCATGTTATTTTTGAATGCAAAGTGTTCCGTGTTGCCCTGCTGTTCTGGAAGACATCTGTGTGTGAATTAGTAGTGCAGGTGCACTCATTAGTGTGAGTGGTGGTGGGGGTGTGATTTACCTCACCCTACACTTGTTAAGATGAATTGTACCCTAAACTACGTGAGATGTACTGACTAGGTCCCTACTGATTTTACTGGATGCTCTGACATCCAGCTTCCAGGTGATTATGTCATGCGGTAGACATCTATAATTAGGTAAGCTGCATTCTGCTCCTAGGATTTGGGCTGCCTTGCATCTCCCCGTGTGTCTCAGTACTTAGTCCCCAGCTCCAAGCTGGTTATAGGGCTGTGGGTAGCATTGCCACAGGGGCTTTGCTGTTGTTTGTCTTTGTGCGGCATATCGATACGCAAGGGAAAATGTCAGGGTGCCCCCAACATTGCATTGCAGTGTAAGTACTGCTCTCTGTGTAAAAAGTGAGAGCTGTGTTTTCTTTGGTCTGCCAAAACATCTGGAGAAGATGCTGATGTGTTTTGGATTACTACTGGAGGAGTGGTACACAATACCTGAAAAGACTTTGAAATGCACTGACCTCCTCTTCATGCGAGCAGATCTCCCTGCACAAGGGCTTTGCAGGTGTGAGCAACATCCCAGTCTTCACTGCAGTCTGTGAGCATTGTGTGGGTGCCACAGCATGGAAGAAAAACATGCTGTGGAAAGCCAGTGAGAGGAGAAAAACACACTCCAAGCAAACGGTAACAGAAAATACCAACTCATTGTAAGCGCCTGTCACTATGCTTTGAAATTGAGCCACCCTTGATTGCTTTTCTGGCTTCCAGGCCCTGTTCACTCTGTCCCAGGGGCCCTTTGGCTTATTATTCCAATAATTCTGGGACTGAAAGTTCACCTTCTCCAGCCTCTAACAAAAAATGAACTGCTCATGGACACCTTCTGGCACTACTAGACAGCTTATTACCAAAACAGTTTGGCAAATCAAATCTCCTTAGAGAAAAGACTGGGAAAATTGTCATGTTGTTTTTTTTTTAAAAAAAAAAAAAAAGGCAAAATACTTTGGGCTTGGCTGAATAGGAACTCAAAATACCAATAAGGAAGATTTGTTTAGGTGTACCCGGGGACTATAACAAGAAGGATGAAAACACAGATGAAACGGGTAAGAGTTCATAAACTTCACTGTTGGAGATCTTTAGAGCTATTCTGAGCTCGCATGCTCTGAGGGATGTCAGAGGGTGTTGTCAAAGAAATGACCTGGGTTATGCAATGGTATGTTTCCATCTCTGCAGTTTAACTTTGCTGGACACATCTGCTATTTCAGTCAGCAGTTAGTGAGTTAACTCTGAGTTTCATGGTTATTCATCGTAAATCTTTTAAACAAGCAGGAAAATCTAATTTCCAAAGGCAATTACTGTTCTAAGTAAATATAATACAAACTTGCAGCTGCCACAAGATGCTTTCAGAAAATCTGAGTTTTTTTTTTTTTTTTTTTTTTTTACCTTCAGTATTTGGCAGCATTATTTTCTTCTTAAACTCTCATGTAAGATCTGATTTATAATCATCTTAAGAATGGGCCCCTCGCTACAAGAAGGACATCGAGGTGCTTGAGCGGGTCCAAAGAAGGGCGACGAAGCTGGTGAGGGGCCTGGAGAGCAAGTCCTATGAGGAGCGGCTGAAGGAGCTGGGCTTGTTCAGCCTAGAGAAGAGGAGGCTCAGGGGTGACCTTATCGCTCTGTATAAGTACATTAAAGGAGGCTGTAGAGAGGTGGGGGTTGGCCTGTTCTCCCATGTGCCTGGTGACAGGACGAGGGGGAATGGGCTAAAGTTATGCCAGGGGAGTTTTAGGTTAGATGTTAGGAAGAATTTCTTTACTGAAAGGGTTGTGAGGCATTGGAACAGGCTGCCCAGGGGGGTGGTGGAGTCACCATCCCTGGAAGTCTTCAAAAGCCGTTTAGATGTAGAGCTTAGGGATATGGTTTAGTGGGGACTGTTAGTGTTAGGTTAGAGGTTGGACTCGATGATCTTGAGGTCTCTTCCAACCTAGAAATTCTGTGACTCTGTGACTCTGTAAGAAGAAGCAATCTTATGTTAGCAGCTTTTTTCCAGGCAGCTCCCAATGTTCCAGTCAAGGCAGATACCTGGAGAGTTGCTGTGAGAATGGGCCTAAGGTGGTGATGGTGGGGGAAGGAAGAGCAGACGCTTGTGA